GGGAACTAGAAATATAATTACAAAGATCTCCACTAGAGGAGATCATAATTTATTTTTTTTCACACATATGAAATCTGGTTCATTATTTTTTTCACACGTTTAATTTCCATGTATTTTTTCCTGTAGCAGGTTTAAATAATCATTTATTAAAACCACACTAATTAAATTTCAACAATCTGAAAACGGCACAAATTATGTGAACTCTTTCATAGATATATTAATCATTAGCATTTAAAAAAAACTTAACTTGGATTTAAGATTACCTCAGAAGTGATTTTTTTTTTATTTCTTAATTTAGATGCCATACAGTTTTGGTAATAATTATTTCCCCTATTGTACTACAGCCATATCAGTGGTCAATAAGACTGTTAAATACTGGTAGTTCAACTTAGATTAAACCCAGACAAACGAATGTGATGGCTGCAGGGTATTTTTCCCATGTATAACATGAATATAAGCCATTTCTCGTTAGAAAATTCTCTACGAAGGCATCTCTCTCCTTAAAAGCTGATAGTCCTTGTGTGTTTTTTGCTGTATTAAAAAAATCCTGACCCTCAAACTACGGCATCTGTTACACTAAATCAAGATGAAAGGTTTTTAAGCAAGATATTAAATCAGTCAGCACCACATTTCCCAGTGGCCAAGTATTAAAATTGCTGAGCACTGGTAATTCGGCATGAGTTAAAATCCTGCTGAACACGCATGTTCCATGAAAGTTTTCTTAGGTTTTTCTACGTTCAAGGTGAATGAGATCTAGTTCCCCTTAGAAAGTCCTTCGTGAAAGTTTCCCTTTTCTTGCACAGATTCCAAATCCATTAAATTTTCTGCATTAAATACAATTATAATTCTTTCTTTTTAAAGAAACCTTAGGGAAAAAATTGTAAACATCAAATCGACTGTGATTATGAATATTATAAAGTAATTAAGTTATTGCACGGGAAAGTTTTTTTTAATATGCTTGTAAGCAGCTGAAAATTAGATAAAAAAAACCTTAAATTGGCATTAAACTGTGTCGATTTTTACAACAATCTATATAAATACATTTAAAAAAAACTAAAAGTAGTTATATAACTCAAATAATTAAATATTTGGAAAATTTTGTTGACCTCTCTCAATGTTACCAATATTTCTGTATAGAAATAAACTGAAGTGACAAAAGTCATGGGATAGCAATATGCAAATATACAGATGGCACTAGTATCGTGTAGAAAATGTATAAATGCAGAGTGCTTTGGCAGGGCTTTCATTTGTGTTCAAGTTATTCATATGAAGAGGCTTTGACGTGATTATGGCCGCACGACGAGAATTAACAGACTTTGAACGCAGATTGGTAGTTGGAGCTAGACGCATGAGTCATTCCATTTCAGATATCGTTAGGGAATTCAACATTCTGAGATCCACAGTGTCGAGAGTGTGCCGAGAGTATCTAATTTCAGGCATAACATCCCGCCATGGACAACGCAGTGGCCGACCACTTGCACTTAACGACCGAGACCAGCGACGTCTGCGTAGAGTTGTCAGTGTTCACAGACAAGCAACACTGCATCAAATAACCACAGAAATCAACGTGGGACGTACGAGGGACGTGTCCGATAGGACAGTGCGGCGAAATTTGTCTTCCTTGGGCTATGCCAGCAGAAGACCGACTCGAGTGCCTTTACTGACAGCACGACATCGCCTGCAGCGACTCTCTTGGGCTCGTGAGCATATCGGTTGGTCCCTAAACGAATGGAAAACTGTGGCTTGGTCAGATGAGTCACGATTTCAGTTGGTAAGAGCTGATGGTAGGGTTCGAGTGTGGCGCAGACCCCACGAAGCCATGGACCCAAGTTGTCAACAAGGCACTGTTCAAGCTGGTGGTGGTTCCATAATGGTCTGGACTGTTTTTACATGGCATGGACTTGGTCCTCTGGTGCAACTGAACCGATCATTGACTGGAAATGGATACCTTCAGCTACTTGGAGATCACTTACAGCCATTCTTGGACTTCATGTACTCAAACAACGATGGGATTTTTATGGATGACAATGCGCCATGTCACCGGGCCACAATTGTTCGCGATTGGTTAGAAGAACATTCTGGACCATTTCAGCGAATGATCTGGCCACCTAGATCGCCTGACACGAATCCCATCGAACATTTATGGGACATCATCGAGAGGTCAGTTCGTACCCAAAACCCTGCCCGTCAACACTTTCACAATTATGGACGTCTATAGAGGCAGCATGGCTCAATATTCCTGCAGGGGACTTCCAACGACTTGTTGAGTCCATGCCACATCGAGTTGCTGCACTTCGCCGAGCAAAAGGAGGACCAACAAAATATTAGGAGGTATCCCATGACTTTTGTCACTTTAGTGTAGAACATAATTAAATATCAATAATGAGTATCATAGATAGTGGAGTACATTGAATGAGCATCACAATATTTACAAAAGCAGTTACTTTGACAAATGAACAGAATTGTCGGGTATCGTGTATGAATGTCACATACATGTTTCATAATACCGAGAATGTTATAAAAATAATAGGTTATGCAATATCAACAATTCACTGATCTTTCCAAAGTGTTTAAAAATAAAATATTTAAGAGTTGCCAAGTTTGTTTAAAAAATTATATTCAGTTCACTCACTGTATTTGTCACTATAACCAGAAGCACATCATCGATTTTTAAACTACTTCTCGATAAGGTATTGAGTTGAAATTTTTTATGGACACCATTTACAAATGACAATACAGCATGGTAAAGCGAGTTTTATAAAATTTGATTTGGAGTTTTTAAAATTTAATGTTGAAAAATGTTTGCGCATGTTTCCATTTAAAGAATAAACTAAAATTCTCAAAAATTTTCAGTTTGCATCATTTTACAGAGCGTAAAATAGCTTTTCAAATAAAATTTGCATGAAATTTTTAACACGATTTCTGATTTTGGGGCAATTTTTTAAAAATTTATAGATCTTTTCGATTATTTGATGTAAGAGGATTCTTGGAAGTAAACGACTGAATCAAAAAGAGAAAAATAATTTATCATATAGATTAATGGGGGTAAGAGATTACTTAAGTCCCTTTGCAAAATTCCTGTACAGTTTTATAACAAGAATAATATGTTCTTAAATAACGAAGTCAAATAATCTAATCGCATTGTCAAAAGTATAAGATTTATAAATTTATCAAGAGAGCCTCACGTTATTAGTATTCGTGATATAAATTTGTAGAAGAATTTTTTTAAAGAGAATTATTTAATTTCGTGTTCTCATTAAATTATATGATACATTATTTTTTTTCGTTTTAATTCATTAATGATTTTATGAGTTATAAATAAAAGTGTATTTTGTAAAAAATTTTTCAGGGCAGTTAATTCAATAACTGCCCTGAAACGAAAATTCTTAATTCCCTTTATATATATACATTTACTTTGTAACTGAGTCTGTTGCATTCGGAACTCATTCGAGTCTGTTGCCATTCGGAAAAACGTAAGATATTATTTTTGGTACAGTCAAACGTCGTTAATTCGGACACCCATAATCCGGACCTCAAAGCTAAAAACTTTCTGCGCATGCGCCGCGTTGGCACAAGCTCACAGGCGTTTTACGCGTGCGCGTAAGACCTTGACTACTGCGCATATGCGTGTGCGCAAGTGCAGAATACGTTTTCGCGTTTAATGTATAACGGACGGTGTAAGCTAAAATTATCTAATTATCTATTTCAGTTAATGTTAATGATTGCGTTGTTCCTTAATCTTCAAATTGGATCCCGCTTATTATTTTTTGCAGACTGTAAGAGCAATTTTATAAAAGTAAACTTGAACTTTCGATTATGTCAAATAGAATTTCCGATGCTGGAACTTCCAAAGGATCTACAAAACGAAAGTGTGTTTCGATGTCCAACAAACAAAAAGTGGAATTGCTGCAAAAAATGGATAAAGACATGAAGAATGTGACAGAGAGGTTAGTGAAAACGAAAAAATTTCGATTGACAAGTTAGTCGGTATTCTCGGCACAGCAATTAACGGGACTTGAACAAAAGTGGAACTTTGTAACTAAACAAGAAATTATGTCTGTTTATAGAATTAAAGAGAAAGTATTATCACATAAAACGAAGCAACTTAAACAACTTACATTGAAAGAAATGTTTAATAAAGTAAACAAATAAATATTAAGCCTTTTTTTTTTTTTTTTTTTTTTTTTTTTTTGTAAATTTTGATACCCTTTAGATCATAATTGTTCTTTATTTCATAAATTACGGTTTCATATTTTTAATTTTAGAATTTCTGCATGCCATCTTACGAGATTTAAACTGATGATCTATAATCCAGAAAAATCGATAATCCGGAATCGCCGAAGTCCCGACGAGTCCGGATTAATGACTTTTGACTGTATTTAATGTCTGTTATTAATCAGCAAACTAATTAAAAGCAATAAATACATTTCTTAAATATATTATTTTTTAATCTGATTGTTTTAAATAAAAATGCATTTAGTTCATGATATATCTAACTAAAAACAAATATTTTTATAGAATTACATTACATATTTTTCACTTTGAAATATACAGAAGAAATTGTTTGATGTTAGTCTAAATGTATATTCATCTAATATTCTATAAATTTTTCACTATTCCACCTGGGCTATGGGGCCCACCAGCGGCCGAGCGGTAGTCGCTGAACACTGGTAGTTTGGTCCGAGGTTCAAATCCCGCAAACGGGCTGGCTGCATGGGCGTTTTCGTGGTTTTCCCCATGTGTAACATGTATACAAACCAGTTTCCCTTAGAAAGTCCTCCACGAAGGCATCCCTTCCCTTAGGCAGATAGCCCTCGAGGCTTTGCCATAATCACACACACACACACCACCTGGGCTATGTCTATTGATAATCTCTACTGAGAAACCGTATTAAACTTTTAAAAGAACTGTTTTAGGTGATTGCTAAAATCTGAAACTTTTCAGATTTTTAATTTTTTAAAATATTTTTCTTTGAATTTTCCTCTACTTTTATCTTGCAGAAAATTTTGCAGAAAAATATAGAGCTGACAGAAAAAATAAGCTGTTTAGAAGCAGTTAATGCAGAACAAACAGAGCAAATTAAAAACGAAGTTCAGCGAATGATGAGTATACTAGTTGCTGAACCCAACTCTGAGTTCCTGTCAAATGCTCAAGCTATATGTGATAAACTGAATCTGAAACAAGAAGTGAGTTCAGTTTGTTTAGGCTTAGCAGTTTTTTTTTTTAAATAATTATATATTCTTTCATTTCATACAGTTTCCTGTAATTAAAAAAATATTGAAATAATGGTCTGTTCAGATTTATTATTTTGTGAAAATTTTTGCACCTGTAGAATAATTTTGAATATTGAAATCTCTTTTGTACATAGATTTTTGATACTTAAACATATTCTTCAATCCCTAGAATTGTTGCCATTACCAAACTTCATTTACCTTTACTTCATACAAGGAAGTTAAATTGTTGGCTGGCATTGTCGTGTATGCAGGGCATTAATCACAAATGCAGCTGCTATACAAATATACTTTCAACTTTCTTATAGTCTGTAACTCTAAAATAGGATTCATTCAAAAATCATTTAAGATTATTTTCTGCCGCCTATTTGTACTTGTAGAAACAATAGCTTCCGAAAAAATTGAGATGTTAATTTTTTTCTTCATGCATCATTTCTGTTTAGTGAATTTTGCTTCATGAAAAGAAGCATATGAATGAAAGCTGACTTGAAGTGCAGTCTCAGATGTCATGAAGAAAATAAGTGCCATGTGATGAATGATGACACGAATTGGGATTGCAAATTGGGCAGGTGGTTTGGCATCAAAGTACCTATTTTAAAGTAGCAGACTTGATGGTGAGAAACATGCAGTCCCAATTTCACTATGTTCTATTACTATAGTGATGTGTCTTGTTCATCACATATTAAAATAGATTTAATAGATGGCTTAAATAATTTCAAACAATTATAATTAAGTTTATGGGATGGATAGGTATTGTTGTGACAGTAGTTGAAATTATGAAGGTTGGAACTTTAATAGTGGCAACTATTTATTTACAAGGAATACAAAAGTGATTCATGTCACCATGTTTTACAGTCCTTCAATATAGTCGCCAGCATTGTGTACAACCCATTTGGAAGTTGCAGAATACCTGTAGCAGCGCCTGTTTTGTTGATAGTTTGAATGGACCGGTCTACTGCCGCAAGAATCTCAGGAACAGTTTGGAAGCGAGTGCCACGAAGTGGTTCCTTCATCTTAGGAATTAAGTCATAGTCACAAGAGCTTAGATCTGGGGAGTATGGTGGATGGTAAAGCACTTCCCAGCCCCATCGCTTGAACAAATCAGTCACAGTTTGCGCTGCATGCGGCAGAGCATTGTCATGCAAAATGAGAGAAGCGTTCTGCAGAAAGTGTCGGCGTTTTTTTCTCAAAGCTGGTCGGAGATTGTGTTCCAAAAATGAGCAGTAATACTGCGCAGCGACGGTCTGCTGTGGGGGAACGGCATGCGTTAGGATGACACCATCACAGTCGTACACGAGAATCACCATAACTTTCACATTGCTGGGGTTCTGACGAAATTTCAAATGTCATGGTGACCTGTGATGACGCCATTTGTTTGATTGGCGTTTCAGTTTTGGCTGGTATGATCGGGCCCAAGTTTCATCCAGCCTAATAATACGGCGTAAAAAAGCATCTCCTTGGCGCTCATAGCACTCCAGGTGGGTTCGGGCAGCATCGTATTGTAGCCATTTCTGCATTTCCGTCAATTGATGTGGAACCCATAGTGAAACAATTTTTCTCATGGACAGGCGTTCATTCAGAATGTGCAGCACAGTCGTACGCGCTAATCCTGTTTGTCCAGCCAGCTGACGAATCGTTTGGTGGCAATCACTGTCCATTAGTGCGGCAACAGCTTGCACGTGTGCATCGCTGACACTCGGACGACCTGGCCGCAGCATGTCTGCCACGTTTTGGCGTCCTTCATTGAATGCTTTCACCCATCTTGCTACAGTTCTGTAAGGCAATGCAGATTCCCCGCAAACCTCTTGAAGCCCTTGATGACACTGTCGTGCTGTACGACCTCTGGCACATTCAATTTTTATCCAACATCGTTGTTCTTGTTTTGAAAACATCCTGACAACACTTACTTTAGATACAAGGATTCGTTCTTCGCGTCACTCTGCATGCGCGTGACGTAGGCAGGATGAGTCTTTTTGCTGAGACGTAAGGTAGGTATGTAGTTCACGTGTGGTATACGCAATATTCTTTGGTTTTGTTGCGCAGCATTTTTTCAGCTGTGTTGCCACTATTAAAGTTCCAACCCTTGTATAAAGGGTTTTAATAGTTTGCAATGTAATTGATGTGAGAGTTATTTTTAGTGAAGTGCAGTATTTGACAAAAATATATCTTAAAAGAGTGATATTCGTTTGACTCAAACTCAAATTGAATGCGCACCAGATGCATGATGTAAAAACTGCTAATGGGCCACTTTTTTTTTTTTTTTTTTTTTTTTTTTAAGAAAATGAAAAAATTTATGAACACAATAAAAAATATTTTATATTGAGGTCATAAGACTGAGCTTTCATGTAGGTTATGCACCATGTCAATTCTACTTTCATTGTGGACTTCTTCAGAACAATTATTGCTATGTATTTCATAGAACCTGTTTCGGAGTATTGTGTGAATGCTGGAAACCTCTTTTCAATTTTTGGGTTGTTTATTTAAGAGAGAGGTACTTGATAATAGTTCTCACTTTGAAGGAACAATGGTGAACCATTATTAAACAAGTGGTATAAAATTCCTAGTCTTGAATTATAAATACTGTCTGATTGATTTCAAAAAATATAAATTGAGCTTCAATGCTGGCATTGAATGAATACAATTTTGCAAAAAAAAAAAAAAAAAAAAAAAAATGCAAGTATTCTCATTTTTTGCTTGTTACCTGCATGTTTCAGATGTTTGATTCCTTTCTGATATTACTAATTTGCCTTTAGAATTGGTTATTATTTTAATAAACTAAGTCATATTTTATACATTGAGAAAGGGCTTCAGATACTTAAAACATTATATCACATTGAAAATCACAGTCATATTATAACTAAATCTTGTGGATTGGATAAATAAATAAGATCAATAAGATCTTGATGTGCTCAATTTATTGTTATGCTGTAAATGCTGCTTTGTTAATTTTAAAAAGGGGACTGTTTTCAAGTAGTAATTATGACATGCATCCCCCCACATACAAGGAACACATTTCAATAACAAAAATCTTAAAAATCCTTGAAACTGAACATCTTAAAAGTATTTGATCTAGTTTATTTGTTCATTGCTAGCAGTTGTTTTGGTTATCAATAATTTAGCCAGACTTTGTATAATTGTAGTTGAACACATCATTTCAGTCTGTTGACCAATGAATTGCAAGTTAATTCTGTCTTTGAAATGACTGTTAAGTTTGGATAACTATTTTTATAATTTGTTATAGTTTTATAGCTTTTTATAGTTCATATAACTATTTGAAGGATTTTCAATAAAAGAGCAAATAATAAGGCTGCACATAGCAATATTAGCTAATAAATTTCCTTCTGATATTTATATTTAAAGGGTAATCTCTAATCTCAATCTCAAACGTATTCATTGTTAATAAAATTGGTATTTATTTCTTCTGTCATAAAATAAAGAAAAAATTTCTTTTTTACTCTCGCATGTATTAACAAACATGCAAAGTACTTTTTTTAAAACATAAAAACTATTCTGTAAAATGCTAATTTAGATGAAATTTTTTTGCATAAAGAAAATGAACTGTTGGCTTTACATTCTGGATTAATTGTAAACTGTACTTTTTGGTTCATATTCTTTCCTCTGAAAATAGAGAAATGTGTACCAGTACTGTTATGTATTCATTTTTTGCCTGTTATTTGTGTATAAACTCCTTGATCCTGTTTGCTAAGTAAATAGAAAAGGTTAACAAATCATTTTGAGCAGCTATCCTTGCTTTTGGCTGCTAAATAATGCAAAAAATTTAGGTATCTGTAAAATGAACTTTTAATCTTTTCTTTTCTTTTTTTTTTTTTTTTTTTTTTTTTTTTTTTTTTTTTTTTTTTGATTGTAAAATATCAAGCCACCTGTAATTGCCCCATTCGATTAAGTTTCAAGCCTTCACTCTGTATAATACAAGTTAAAGAAGCACTTCTTTCATTGATATTACTGATCCATAAACTTGTTTAAAGATATGAGATCTTTTATGACTGTTTTTGAAATATTCTGTAATTAAATGGTTAACTAAGGCTCTGTTCTGACAGTGGTATAAATGTTCTGTTTTAAACTAATCTTTATTGCTAGGTAACCAGATCTTTAACCAGGTAATCAGAAACTGGTTTAGTAATTTTGGTATAAAGTTCAAAGTTTTCAACTTTATGTTGACTTGGTATAAGCGTTGGGCCAATAAGAGTGAATGCATGAAATCTATTGAGTGGGAAAACGGAGAGGGAAATCTGTAGACATATCCACACATGCACAAATTAAGCTTCTGTCATTGTCTACGGCTTAGACCCTGTCTCGCAGGTGTGAACAGAACTCCCACATTTTATCCCTTATGACAGTTCTCTGGGAAATTTATACCACTATCTGAATGGAGCCTAAAATGCTATTAAGTTGTTTCTATCTGAATAGAATTTGATCTCCCAATAAGATCTAGTTTTCTAGTTAATTTCTAGGTTTTTTTTTTTTTTTTTTTTTTTATGTATTACATTATTTATTAGGTTTTCGTATGATTTGTTTATTTGTAAATATTTCAGATCGCTAAATTAAAGGCTACAATTTCACAAAAAGAAGTGATAATTCAACAGCTGGCTCAGAAATTTAAGCGAGCCACCACTACTTTAGAAGAAGACCTGCGGAAAGCTGAGAAGGAAATCAGATTTCTAGATAATGTAATTGGAAAAGTCTTTGTAGTAAGTTTTCATTGTTACTGATTATGCTATTTATTTGTTGTGAAGTTAAATTTTTAATATAAATATATTCCAGATATTTTAATTCAAAGAAAATTCTCAAAATATAGGGTGAGTGATAGGGTGTATGTGTTTGATTACACCATGTGATAGCAGCATTAAGATTAAGGAAAGTGAGATAGCCTCATTGGAAAAACAAATATTCAAACTGAAGAACAGTATACTATGATATGAGGTAGAGTTGGCTTATTGCCTCACACTTCTTGTTTTGGATGTTTCCAATCCTTCACTGATGTTGCTACATCAATACTACTGAGAATCCTTTCAGGAAGTTTTTTTTTCTGGATATTACCTACTGTTAACAGATTTTCCTTTACTTTCTCAAATATGATGGCAATCGTATGTCATTTGCTGTTCAATCTCACAGCTTTATAATAATTCTGGCATGTAATCATGCACATTGCAATCATGTCTCTCTGCTGCATAGGCCGTGGTATAAGTTCAGACATATGAGTGTTATTTGACTTAAAAAACTGAAATTTTGGGTTTTTAATATACCATTTAATATTTCCTTTCACAGCACAGTAACACACTACATTTGCTTTAAATTCATAGCCATATTTCTGACTCACTATGTATATAAAGATTTTTAAGCATGTAAAATTTTAGTTCTGAAGTGTAAAGTGTTTGTTCTCAGTTCATAACTTATGTATATTATGGAATTATTCATTCCAAAACAAGAAATGGTATTTCTCATAGAATAACATTTTAAATTCATGTTAATTAGGGTTTTAAATTGATAGCAGATATTTTTAATGTTTGGTGGGTATACTTCAGAGGATCCTCATTATAAAGGAGATACTTAGTTTGGTCTTGGTTTGGTTTTATTAGATTACAGCAAAGCACTCAAGGGCTATCTGCCTTAAGGGAGAGATGCCTTCGTGGAGGACTTTCTAAGGGAAATTGGCTCGTATACACGTTACACATGGGGAAAACCATGAAAACGCCCATGCAGCCAGCCCGTTTGCGGGATTTGAACCTCGGACCGAACTACCAGTGTTCAGTGACGTTACCGCTCGGCCGCTGGTGGGCCAAAGGAGATACTTAAAGATTACATTTTACTCATAGCAAATACATATATAAATAGAAGGCATAAATAGCAAATGTTAAGAAATTACATTTTCTGTTATTGATGAAGCATTACAAGTTGTATCTTTTTGTACTGATACAGTAAGGGAATGATATAGATCTCTTCCTCTCCCTAACAGTTGTAGTAAATGAGTATTTAAAACTTTTCTAAATTTAAACTTTGTGAATTATGTTATGATTGATCAAAATATTCATTGTATGGAGGATTTTCCTGAAGGTATATCTGACTTTATCTAATTTAATATCAGAAGTGCCAATTTCATAAAAAAATATTGCAAGCCATGAATATATAGAGGGAAAACCACTACTTATATCACTAAGGGATACAAAAATACATCTGAAATATTACAAGATATCTATAAAAGGAAGACCATATGGAATATTTTACATTAATTAATAATTTGAAAAATAGCATAAATTACCTTTTAGGACATTACTTAAAACAATTTAGAATGAATGGTTTTATCAAAAATGATTACTTGTGCTATGAGTTATAAATAATTGTTTTTATCATTCTTATTCTTATCCTTATAATTAAATTAAGCAGAAGTTTGTAAGTATGAATTTATTTAATATAATTTGAAACACAATTTTAAGCATGTAAATTACAACAATGATTTAATTCCTCATTTATTTAAATTTTTATAGATTAATACTTAAAATAAGTCATTTTTGAGCAACATAACATATGATGCAATTACATTTGATATATAATAGTGTTCCCCTTATCTGCAGACATGATTCAGTTCTTATCATAGGTAATGTTGAATGCTATATAAAACCAGACATTTTTGTTAACATGTTTAATTATGGTTATGTTTAATCGATAAATTTTGCAAAGTAAAGCATTATCAATATTAAATAAAATACTAATACACCTAATTCATTTTTTTTTACATGATAAATACATTCAGGGTCAGATTAAGATTTTTAGAGACTTTTAAGTACTTAAAAGAGTTTGGTGTCCCTAAATAAATGTATACCTATTTTTTTCCCATTCCTTTTTTCTCAGTCTTTCTTTATCTACATCATATATTTCATGATAAAAACGGAAATGTAAATTTTTGTGATGCTCTCTTCTCTTGAGTTCTTAAGGACCTTTGTGTGGTGCGCCCTTTTTATTGATGCCCTAAGCACATACATGTTTTGCTTAATGATTTGCAACTCTGGGTACATTCCTGATGAATATGTAAAAAAAAATCTGATGTGATCAGCAGATGAGCTTCAATCAGTTCCATGTTTTAAATAACAATGATCTTTAAAATGTCACTTCTGATTGATCATTTGAAAAAAAAAAAAAAAAAAATGAAAGTTTGTTATTTCAATTAATAGAAAGGTCTGAAATATGATATTACATTTTATTAATTATACAAGGTGTGTCCCTAAAGTAATACGCCCATTTTTGTTTTTAAGAAATTTGTTGAACCGATTCGTACAATTACTCAGTGTTCTTCGAAATACATCCCTCCTGCTTTAATAGACTTGTTCCAAAGCTATTTCCATGCTTTATATGCATCCTGGAAGTCTGTCATAGGAATTTCTTTTAGTAATCTCATCATAGCTGCCTTGATGTTTTCCAGGGTCTCCAAATGCTGTCCTTTGAGGGATTTTTTAATCTTTCAGAAGAAAAAGATGTCTTGCACAATCAAATGTTTCTGAAGCAACGCAAAGTGTCCGACGGCATTTTATGAAGTTTTAAAGAAAACTTTATCGTGTATCGAGAGTTTTTTCCATCTTTTCGGCCGAGCACTCACACGAGTGTTCACTGAAACAGGCACTGTGACTGTCCAGGAGCTCAGAGCTGACTGGCGCTGGTTGCACTGTGTTCCCAAGACTCCACCCACCCTTTTGTGCAAACAGCAATGCTGTGCGATGGATAGTCGCAGCAGAAGAAAATGGGATGCATTACTTTTGGGATAGACCTTATAATTAGCCACTTGTAAGAACTGTTTTTCTAACATACTAACATAATCCAATGTTTTCCTCTAAATTTTTTATTAAAATTTGTATTTTATTGGGCACCTGATTAACATATAATTAAGTGATTTTTAATTAAAGAAAACTAAGTGTTTATAATTTAGACAAAATACCTTGAAACAAATATTATAATTTAATTTTCTTCTGTGTTATTTCTGTAGTAGTATCAACATATCTAAATTTAGTTTGATCTGCAGATATATTTATGTAATATTTATATATCATTAAACAATGCTCATTCAACTGCAACATTAGGCTATGGTGTATACATAGTATATGTGTGTGTAACGATATATTATGTTGATTATTGCAAAACTGCCATGGGCATCAAATAGAATATCACTTTTAGTGGTTCTAAAACTCTGGTGTAACAGCCCTAATGTGCCAAGGCCTGCAATTCCTGAAATCTGCTTTCTTGACTGTGGGGACCATGGGATCATCTCCTCTATCTTAGTTTTCTTGACCAAAAACTAAGATAGAGGAGGTGATCAGGCTATGCTCAGCAAGGTACTAAGAAATTCTCCCACTCCCTTGAGAATTGTATCTTTGCAGCATAATTTCAATAGCAAATCAAAGTGGTGGGGAGAGGCCTTATATAAGTGGAGCACATTGAGCTGACAACTTGCAGATAGGATGGAGCTGCAGATTAGTGTAGTTGTCTTTTGCCACAATATCCAAGTAATTAAACAGTAACAAAGATATTCCCTCGATAGGTACTACAACTGTAATAGCAGTTGCAACTTTTCCACACGATTCAGCTAAGGTATCAGAAAATTGAGTCACATAACTTCCTACCCAGTTTAGTCAAATAGTATTACAACAACTGAAAATCAACATTAGAAAAATAGCTCACCCCATAGAATAGTAACAGCATTGTAAGAGCAAAAAGTATTGTAATGTAAGCTTATTACTGTCCATTTTGTATGTACTTGTTAAAAATAATGTTGTAAAGCAGTTAAAAGTGACATAGAAAATCCAGTTAATGTGTAATTGAACTACAAGTTTACTTTGGTTATCTGAGTAAAAGTATTGTATACATGACTTCAGATAATGTTTGAATGTGCACATAACTGTCATGATTATATCTAACTATCACATGTAACTTGTACAAGACAGTGTCTGTAATTAACATATCTATGCATATACAAAGGCCTTGTATGCCCATGTAATATTTATATTTTTATATGGAAGAAATAATCCCTTCTGCAGGATGACTATTAACACTGTAAGACGTTTACAACAAAGTCCGGTCAGTGGTTATCTCGGGCGGCGCTCAGTCAGTTCAGTTATCTTTTTGCGGCAAGGAAAAAATACATAAAAACTCAAAACATCTTCATTAAAAGTTGTAAAATACAGAAAAACCTAAAACACCAGATAGAGTTAAAACCATTAAAAATAATTTTTACAATTAAAATTAGAGTTTTAAATTAATTAAAATTAGGCTGAGAGACAGATTTTCCGGGGCGCAAAACTTTTGGCTCCACTCGGTAGAAAGACAATAAAAGTTGGTGCAGAAACTATGCTATTAACTCACTATGCTACTAAGTTTCCAATGCAAACAAATGGCGGCATCGTTAGCTTAGTGAAACTTGAACAAGTTTTAAATTGTTGATAATTCTACAACTACTGCATGCAGATTAACTAAAGGCATAAAAACTTAAACCAGAACAGAAGAACAATATAACTCAATCACTTTTAAAGCAAAAAATGCACAATTTGCCAATCTATCATAATAAAAAAACTTAGCTCGTTGAAGTGGGTAATAGGGTGGGTATATATTTATGTACTTTTGGTGCAGCCAATCGCAACCAAAAATGGAGGTGCACATTTACATGTTACAGCAGTCCCATATGCAAAATTTCAATGTTCTGAGGCTACTTGTTTTTGAGTTATGTGAGATACATATGTATGCATGTACGTACAGATGTTATGAAAAAAATCTCTTCTGAATCTATTTCACAATCCATTTTGGGGGAAAAGAGTCCTTTATTTTGTCCGTGTGTACAGGTGTAATGCAAAAATATCTTTCAGATGGAATCGAGAGTGGTCAAAATGGATATTTTCGTTGAAATATACTTGTTTTACTTAGTGTACAAAGAAGTAAAAAGTTATTGTATTTATGGAAGAAAAGAAGATTCGTTTTAAATCTAAAAAATTCAGCAAATATAATTAAAAAAAATCTGAAAGTACTCATTTTAAGCATTTTATTTTTCAATAAGATACACGTGTGGCCACATATGTAATGAAAATGTATTAGGATAAATTTGCATTTGGAAAAAAAAAAGGGGGGGGACCAAAAAGAAATCTGTTTTACACATAATAAGAGTTTATTCATTATCTCTTTCTGACAATAAATGACACATTAGGTATTCGACTGGAATATCATTGTTACCACTACAAATGTTGTGGATGTTGTTCTTCCTGTGTTAATGAAATTCCTTATGTATCTCTTGAGCAAAATCAGCTCGATTCTCCTCTAATGCTGATGTTTCACCAATTTTGCCAACAACTTCAGTTATTAATCACTGTGTTTGTGTTTTGATTAAGCCTTTAATAATTTTGTATGAGAGGCTGTCGACAACATCAGTTCATGTTGAAATTTCGTAGAACGTTTTTCATTCGGGTAATGTTTGACAAAATGACTACTGAATCTCCTGGTCGGTTTCAGACCTCTTAATAAATCTGCATTTAGAACTTGATCATTTTCTTCATTATCACAATGCTCTTTTGGATTAGGAGTATCAAGGACAACCTCTAATACTTCATCTTCGATTAGAGCTTTTTTGACAATTCATCAATATTCTCAAATGATGGCTTATCAAATCCAGCTCAGTCAATTGCGTGGCCATCGTAACGATGCTGAGAAATTTGGTAGTATTAGGGATAATAGGATTATTGCTTTATTTTCTTTCATTAGCTGTTATGCAATGTTTGCGTGTTGCAGGTACTACTGTGCCACAAATAAAAAAAAAATTTTTTTTTTTCTTATATTAAAGCCACTCCAAACTCTTACAAATTGGTTTGGCCAGCTCGTGTTAAAACCAAAATGATGTGTAAAAAAAATAATGCAATATTTATTTTATGTAAAAACCTCATGCAAAAACATAATTAGGTATAACGTATGCTATGTACTTCTTTACAGTATACATTGTACTATTAAATGCAGCTATGCAAAATATATTGTACGTGACATTAGAGTATCTCTTTGTTGTCTCATGAAATAAGGGAATTGGACATTTTAGTAGAATTCACAAAAGTTGAGTAAGAAATGAGGAAATTAAGGTTCTGTACTCTGTAGAAAATGTTTCATTTCTAAGAAGGCTGAAATATGAATTCATTTATTTAGCTTCAATAAACATTAACAAAAGATCCATGAACAGATTTGAATAATTTATAAATGTTTTATTTTGAAATAAATGTAATTGATTTGAATAGAATTAGACTAAAATAAAAAATAACAAATGAGTGTATGTTCAATGTGAAAAACTTAGGCCTTTCAAATGACCAGTGTCTGTAACCTCACAAGGACAGATTCTTTGAAAATTAGTCAATAAATTGCAAAAATTTCAAGCTATATCGAAAGAATTTCTACTTAAATATTGTTTTCCAGTTCGTTAATGATTGCTGGTTTATCTTTCAGATACCCCAGAGTGGCACTAAGTTTGCTAAACATAATGCCCAACTGAAAGTTTTAAATCTGGATATTACATGTGTCTAAAACTTTCCTTAACAGTGCCTTTGTTTTACATGCTATGAGAGCAGTGACTCTATCTTTTCGAACCTGTGACTTGGTTTATCTATTAGAGCTGGACTAAGAAAAGTTTTTGATTATTTGGAGATATCAACGACTCATTTCCTATGCAAGCATAATATTTTATGCTTTATTAATGTCCCTTATTTTCTTGTTTTATTGTATATGCCCTTATTTATTTTGCACTTTTAATCTAAATATTATGATTTATCTTTTATAACCTGAAATTTGCCCAACTTTTTGTCCCAGGCATGTGTTGTAGATTTCTAGTGTTCTGCTGTTAGTGTATATATAAAACTGCATTGCAAATATCATCTTAAATTTACCTAAATATTAGAGCAATGCTGATGTATTTTTTTCAGGTTCTGCAGAGTAATCCAGACTTAGCACAGAATCATGAAGCATTTAGGAATTTAATGTCCCTTGCAAGTGGTAATTGTACTTTAAGTAGTAGTAGTTCTGTCTCTGAATCTGAAGATAAGTGACAAGTGAATTCCACTTCATTTGTAATTAAAGTATTCCTTCATAAAGTTCTCAATGTGGTTTAAGGAATGTGTAATTAGCAAGAATCTACTCAATAGTCAAGTAACTGAAGCCTTCTAAATAAAAATAAATGAATAGACAAGAAGAATTCCAACAATTTTGCTGTTTTCAGATTGAATTGGAAAGAGTCTTTGCATTAAATGAGACAGGGATTCATATGTGTTTAGGATAAATATATTAATTAGGCTAGACTGAAAATTGAAAATCTTAAATTATGCTGTGTTTGTTTGATCTTACATTCCTGTTTTCCTCATTATTCTCATCTTCATTTGTTGTGTTTAGTATTTAAAAAAAAAAAAAAAAAAAAAAAAAAAAAAAAGGATTTTGAAAATTCAGTCTTTTATGTGAATTAAATTGTGATTGCATTCTCAAAGTTTCCATTTTTCATATAATTCCATTTTTAAACCTTTTATTAGTTTAATTACACATACTTATTTCATTTATGATCTGTTTATAGTATGATGTAGTAGAAAAAAGTACTTTAAACATTTAAGCTATTAACAGCATTTTATTAAACTGTTTGAGAATTAAAAATTTGCATTTTCCTTTTTCTTTTCTTTTTCTTAATTCAGACCTTAAAAACTGTTTTTTACATGACTTTATTAAATGGGATTATAATTAATTTGCATCTTTTTGGTTTTGTTGTTAAAAGATCATGACCTTCATTAAATGGGAACATAATTAATTTGCATTAATTACTTGTAAATGTTCAGTTAAAAAAAAAATCTTGATTTGCTTTATGGATGCATTCTATAAATCATGGTGCATTTCAACATTGTTTTTCCTAGCTGATAGTTTTTTTTTCCTTCTGTGGTTGAAAACTGCTGCCATTGAAAACCAGAGTAGGAAGCATAAATATTAAAATAAAATTGTAATTAATTAAAATTAATAGATTAAATTTTATAAGTATCTTAGCTTAATTAATATATTAAAAAATATAAGCATAAAACACACCTAAATAAAATGATCTGTGGATTACTTTGTTTTTTAATTGCATTTATGTTCTGAATATCGTAAGTTATAAAAGCTTTAATATTAAAAGATATAATGCAATTAGGAAATCCCTTTGGAATTTTTTAAAGACTCTTGTTTCTTTTCAAAAACATTTATATGCTGAATGCATTAAATGGATGAAGCTGTAAAATTAAAAAGTAAAATATAATTAGAAGTTCCACTTGAGATAATCTTTTCAGACTAGTGTTTGTTTTGTACTTTGCAACTCTGCAGTCTGTTTGATTTAAAGAAAACGTATATCATATATATATATATATTTTTTTTTTTTTTTTGGTGTGTGTGTATTTTAATTTGCATTCTATTATCACTTATTGGCTTTTTTGTTATTTATATTTACATAATATTCATATTTTAATTTTCCATAAGATTATAAGAATTTATTGAAATAATAAAATGTCACAGTTCAGCAATATAGTATTGTATAATAGTATATCTGAATTATTCTGTGAATTTCTTGAAATATATGAATCATTCTGGCTAAAAAAAAATATTGCTGTTTTCTTGACATATAATTTTATTTTCAATAATTGACACAATTTGTATTAAGTGAACTTAATTGAATATCATGTAATCAGTACTCTACACTGTTTTGTTTTTTTTATAAATCTTTTCTTCATATTCAGAGCAGTAGTGTGAAATTATATATATATATATATATATGAATAATAAAAATATATAAATAGGCTTTATAATTTAATTAAGGGGTAGGCTTTTAATTCATTTTTAATTCGGATATTCCCCTGTTATAATAACTTTTCTACATAGTGCCATTTCTAGATCAATCTATGTTGCATTGCTTGTGTAACACTGTTGTTGTAGCTTATTCAAAATTTAAACTATTGAGAACTGAAACCTTTCTAACCTAAACCAAAACCGGCTCTTGGTGATCTTTCATATTGGATAACTGAATATTTTGCTTCTACCTTTGTTGCTGCTGAAATGTTATTTCACTGTGCATTCTTTCTATTGCAATAGTATTAATGTACAGTTTGTGGAAATAAGCACGATTAGAGTGCAAAGTGGCCACAAACGTTAATGTAAATTAAAAATGGAATCTGCCTCGATTGCCAAATTTCTCAGATATTATGGACTCAACATATTAGTATACTATGCAATCAGAATTCTTCCCAGAATTCTTCCTGTTCAATATGGATCTATGATTTTCTCTCTCTGTGTGATGCACAATCATTATTTCTATGTTTCTGCACCTCATTTCCCCCTCTTCAGTACTTCTAAGTTTGTTTTTATTACACACACACACACACACCACACATATATATATATGTATATAGAGAAAGATATGTGTGTGTTTATATGTACACACACACATCCCACTTGCACTTCTTTTCCTTCTTGAGTTTGTCAGATATTAGGCACCTCTCCTTTTAAATAGCATTTTGTGCCAAATGCACCAAACCCATGCTTCCTAGATCCATTTGTTTAGGTAACCCACTTTGTTTATAAAGTCGAACAGCCCCTTAATAGAGCTCAGAGTATTGAAAATACCTAAAGTAGTCAGTGTTATCAGAAGTTCAAGGTTAGTAGCCTGTTCCTCTAATAAATGTTTTTCAGGATGTCCCTCAATGAATACAGACATTTTGACCACAGTAGGAGCCTCCCTGAAGGTATAATCTTCAGGTCTACTTCTTTTGGCAGTCTTCGGGGCTGTATTCTGTTCCATCTTTTGAGATTGTCTTTTCTCACCCTTCCCTTTGGGTTTTTCAACCCAAGAACCTTTGGCAATTTTTAATTATTCGGCACGTTTCTTTCTTTTCTTTTTTTATTTGTTTTTTGTGCTCTGTACAATCTCTTTCTTATTTTGATTTTATCTAGATAAACAGTCATGCTTTTAATAGCTTCCTGCCCTTCTCCTGATGTTAACTGAGTAACTTGAGTAGAGGTAATTTCTATCTCACTCAATGAAGGATTAATTTCTGCTCCTTCGACTGATATTTTCTGGGTTTCCTTGTTTTGAGAAGAAAGGTCTACCTCAGCAGTTTTGCCTGCAAAGGCAGAATTTCTAGTTATATTGTCATTTTCAGCCACATATAAACTAGAAAAGAAAGTACAGGTCAAAAAGGTCCACCCAGTATTTATTGCCTGTTGATGGGTAAGGCAAAATACTCTAGAAGTTGGCATTCTAGAGACTTCATTAAGATACTATAACTGCAGTGTCATTCTTTCTAGGCATGAGTCACATAACACCAAAATTATGGGAGGGGTTCGTGGCTTCTTTTTTATTATTCGAAGCTATCCTTTCAGATAATACAGGACATCCGGCTATACACCTCCTGCCAGTGTGCCTGGTAGCCACTCAAGCCCCAGGCATACACTTTCACACATTGTGTGTGTAATATGACAAAGAAAAAATGGCAACTTTGTAAGTGATGACATAAATAAGTTTTAAGATATATAAAACTTTCTTCCTGTGATTGCTTATGTATTGTTGATCTAAGAATTGCATTAATAAGAATATGTCTTTAATGAGCTACAACATTATATTTTTTCATATGAGAATTCCTCTGGCAAACAAATTATTTTTATGGTGTAAATGCTGTTCATACACTGGATTATCTATAGTGGGATGCAGTGCTGGGAAAGCTAACATGTGTAAATTTATAATTTACAAGCTAACTGTATAGTAAATATCTTTTAAATTATAAATATTAAAACTCAGTCTGAAAAGTCATAATTTATTTTCATCATTATTTATTTATTAGATGTGAAGTAATACAGAATACATATTTAATTAGATATGAAGTAATAAAGAATACATACTTAATTAGATAAAGTAATAAAGAAGATTATATATTTCAGGGATGGCCAAAGTGCGGCTCGCAAGCCTGATGCAGACAATTTGTGCAGCTCGTGCATATAAGATATATGTATGAAATATGGTAAACTGAAACTATTCAGTGCCCAGAAGGAAGTAATTAATTAGTTTAGACTCTTTTGACAAAGTTATCAGGGTTTTCTTTCTATTTAAAAATCTCCTCCACTACTTCTGTAATGATGTAAATATGAACTTGTGGCTTTTAGAAAATCTAGATGTGGCTCTCGAACATTCCTGAATTGAAACGCTCGGCTCTTACTGACATGAAGTTTGGCCAACCCTGACATATTTAATTAGATATGAAGTAATAAAGCGAGATTTATGTATTATAATATCTTTTATTTTGAATTTCTCTTTTCAGTTTTGGATTATTTTCAGACTATTTCATATTGATTTAAAATTTTCATAATTCATAAGACAAAAAATTATTTACTTATTTTAAATATGTACTGAAATGCTGTCAGAAGTTGTTTGTCACCTATAGCAGAAGTGCCTGTGGTTGAATGAAAAAGTGATGTATTTTGTGTAGTTTCCGTCCTGAGAATAAAGTTAGATAAAAGTGCCCTTGATAGTTACCTATCGTATTTAACATATCTTAATTTTCCAAAACTAGTGAATGAAGTACATCTTCTGATAAAATCTGTTTGGTGCTTAACATTGCTAGCATTTCGCTTAAAACAGTGTAATTATGGGGAAATAACCATGTAAATTGTCCTTAGGATCAGTGATATTCTTTACTTTATGCCAATGGTTTAATTTTCTGCTTTGTTTTCTTATATCAATTACATTTTAAGGCTGTGATTTTGTGAAATATCAAAGTCTAAAGTGCATAGGTAAGTGAAATTATCTTTGAACACATTATTTTAAATGTGTCATAAAATTATATTTGATTTGAATCTCAGTTAAAAGTAATTTGATAACGTACTTAAAATTAACAAGTTGAATTAATTTTATTTCATATATGTTAAATTATAAATGATTTTATTTACCTTGATTGATGTGGATATGAGGGAAGCTTGTGCAGTTACAACTCTGCATTTAATTCTCGGCCTTCCATTTTTTTAAAAAAAGAAAAATTGTGAGGCAATAAAAAATACATCTACAATTTATTTAATGTTCTATATTCATTGATATCTTATGATCAGGCCATCTATTTAGCAGACTGTCTAGCAGTAATGTTTTTCAATGTTATCTGATAGTATTTGAAATAATGTTGTAAATAATATAATTCTGATATTAAAGACTGAATCACATGCTAAATCCTCTACTTTACAACATGCTGTGTGTATTTTATACAGAAGAGCTTCAATGCAGTTTTTGAAAGAATTTCATTTTCATATTTGAAGAACAAATATATTTGTGAATTCATTTATATATTCATTTATAAAATTTGTATGACTTTTTTATATAAACGGAATTATATATGTACACCAATATGCTTTGGACAGTCCTTGAATTATGTGTTTAACTATACTTGTGACAAACTTAGCCTGAAAGTTGACGGAAAATTATAAACAGCATGCATTTTTCTCACAATATAATTCTCAAACATACTATGGAGAGGTTAATGACTGAAAATACTTTAAGTAAAAGTTAATATGAAATAATAAGTAAACTGAGGAATAATTTGATCATTAAAGGCTATATTTTTAAAATTTAATTAAGTTCCTTTTTTGCTAACATTTTGATATCAATCTGATGTCAGGACTATATGTTCTATGCATACTCTTGGCAAACATAATGGTGACAGTATCAAGGTCCTGATCTCGAACAGTGAGCTGAATGCAGCTATGTTCTTGTGAGTGCTAGAAGAACTACAACGTAAGGAGGGTGTAAAAGACCCTTTTATTTAAATCACTATTTATAGCAACTCCCAGCTCGGGAGTGATAACAGAAAAATAATGACCCCGCTTGGGTCTAAACTGGGTCTAAACCGAAGTGTCTGAGACTAAGAGCTCTCTCACTCCTCTCACTCTTGAGAAGTTTCTTGCTAACCTTTAAATACAAAACTTGGCTCCCACACAATTTAGCATAAAGCTGAACCACGCACTCATTCTTAAGGGAAGTTGAAATAAGAGTTTACAGGAAAGGTAACTTAAAATAAAAAGAAATTTGCTTAGTTTAAATTATGTTATGGTTTAACAAATTTCTAAGCAAAGAGACATTTTTATTAATATAATGAGAAATCAACAGCAGTTTTCATCCATACTGCTTTGTAACTAAATTTTTGCTATATGTCAACACACTTAACACCATTGTGATTGACAGTGTTTCATATGAAATTTCATGAATCTAACAATAAAAAATTGGCATTTAACCCTTTGATGCGCGGTGGTCGTGCCCTGAAACCACCCTTTTCCAAATTTTTTTTCTCCTCTTTTTTTTCCAAAATTTTTTAATGAAAATGAATTGATTACTGATCTTTTACATCTAAATAACACAAAATAACTGTAGAATCATATATGTTTTAGGTATTAATACTTCAGATCGGATACCTTTTAAAATTCGTTTTCGATGAGACAAAATAACTTCCTTTTATTAATATAAACAACTTTAAATTTCAAAAGTTAATCATCACACATCATGATTTCTATCATAAGCAATAAAAAATTGCAGTAATTAAACTGCACATATAAAAAAAATCCTTCTATATGTATGGCATTTGCTATGTGGTTTCAGGGCGCAACCACTGCGCCACTAGAGCATTGTGTCACAATGCTTACAATCCTCTAGAGGCTCGATTGTCATGCCTTGAAACTGCTGGCATTTGCTTCTCAATGGCGTTTGCTTGCTTTTCAAATAGGAATGTTTATTTTTTCCCGGATATAGATAAAGGGCTTTGAAACCACATAGTTATTTTATTACTAAAAAATACAAGCACCTGCCCAGTAAAAAGGTCTTTCTTTTTCAAATACCTTTCTCTGACATCAACACATTTGCTCCCCAAGCTAGTATTGTGATTTTATAAATTATTTCGTGTGGTTTAAATTTAATGTAAATATACTTTGCTATAATTAAAAATAGAAATTGCGTAAAAGTTTTATTTAAATTAAAAATATTTTCTGAATATTTTGGTACAAAATACGAATAAAATAAATATGAATGGGAAACGAACGATCCGTACAAAGCCAAAAAGACCAAGCCCCCCCCCCATTAACATAAAAAATCACAAATTTCATGTGCCAGATGAAAAGAAACTAAATAACGCTGGACATATACCAGTGAAATTTAAATCCAGGCAGTGTACATTTTGTAGCACAAGGAAGAAACCTCATAGAACAAGATGTATGTGCAAAACGTGCAGTGTGGGTCTATGCATGTGCCAAAAAAACAAAACATGCTTTGAACAGTGTCACACACACACACACACAAAAAAAAAAAAAAATTGAGTTCTTTACTATCCTTATTTTATTGAGTTTTTTAATCCATTTATCCAAATATCCTTATTATGTAGGTACTTATATTTTTACTGCTATAGAAAAATTACATAAATGTTTATTTTTAAATTTTTTCTGACGATTTACTTTGTAAAATAATGTAAAAAATTATATATAATGCAATTCTTACATACATTTTTTTAAAAATCCGTAAATTTTGTCATTTATTGGAAATGCGCGCGGAAAATGGTAAGTTCCTCCCCCCCCTACTACATCAGTAAGTTTCAAAGTCCTAGACGCGCGGTGTTTTCACAGTGTGACCACCACCCACAGGACAAAGTGCAAGAGTAGATTTTTTTAAATTCATATATTATTTGTCTCTAGAATCATAATATTCAATTTCTAGAGTTTTTAGTTAAAAAAATTATAAAAATAGTATCGCGTGCGTCAAAGGGTTAACAGTGGTTAAGGGGATAAAGCCACTGAAGACTGGTGCTATGCCTAGGGTTCAAACTGCATTTAATGGACAAGTATTTTCATGCTTTTTCTGATGTATAATGTAAATATGAGCCAATTATCCTTTGAAAATGCTATATGAAGGCATACTTCATCTCAGAAAATAACTCCCAAGCACTTTGCAGTGTAACAAACAATAATAAGAATTCAGCAGAGATATTAGTCATATTTGAAGATTACATTTTGAAAATTATTCCTATTTTCTTGAAGCCTGTGTACCATACTGTTGTGTTTGAAATTTTAGTTCTTTAAAGAACCTTGAGAGTTAAATGCTGTGGTACGTGTAGAACTGAGGTTCTCTGCTGCATGGACAGACATGTACTTGGAAATGTAGAAAGATTATCCAGAATGTTTAGCTAGATTCCTATTTCCACTGTGCTGGTCCTTATTAGGACTGGATGCATCACATTTCTGCACCATGCTCGAGAGAATCATGGCTGTTGGCCACATCGACAGACGTCAAGGATAGGCATGACAGGAAGGACAGTCTTCAGCACCATCCAGAACAGAGAAGACACACAACCCTTTCTCTTTTTGTCAGGAGGATCCTTCCGTGCAATTATATAGTTCACCTTTCTGCTCAGCGCAGTCGTAAACGGAAGGAATGCAAATTTTCAACACATGCAAAGTACTTTGATATTTTCATAAAAAAATCTGCATTCATAGAATGGAAACAGTCACATGTTTAGTGGCTTAAAAAGTATTAAAAATTACTTAATTGCAATTTATATGTAAAACTGAACCCGTCCCTAAAACAGACAGATAAATAAAATAAAAAAATTGCTTTACACGCACACATACTTTTATAAAATAGGCAAAAAGTTAGTTTTTCTCAAGAAGTTCTGGCTTTTTTTCTGGTTAAAAAGTTGTATTTGAGTAGTGAAAGTATTTCATATTTTGTGCATATAAATCCAGTATCAAATGTACATGATTTTGTAAATAACAGTTGAGAATTTTAATGTTTGAAGATCCATTTTAGAGATATTTTACTAATACACTCTTTTAGAAAAAAAAAAAATCAAAGCTCTATGAAGGAAGTGGTTGTTTTTGATGAAATTGAATGTGTGTATAGCTCATACACAGATAATAAAATTATTAAAAAATCAAGGTCATAGTACCTGTTCACGGCTCACAGTCATCCATTGAATGTTCGAATTAGTAGTTGGTCGAACTGCCTCTGGCGGCAATGCATGCTTGAATTCGTCAAGGCAAGGAGTAGTAGAGATTCCTAATGTCATCCTGCGACACATTCTGCCAGGCATTCGTCAGTTGTCGCTCCAGATTTGTGATATTTTGTGGTACCCGAATCTGGTGGTCAACCATGTTCCAGACATGCTTGATTGGTGAAAGGTCTGGTGACCTTGCTGGTCAAGGAAGAGTATCAACCGCACGGAGACAGTCCAGAGATATATGAGCAGTGTGTAGTCTGGCCTCATCTGGTTGGAAAATGGCGATTGTTCAGAGATATGTGAGCGGTATGTGACTGCAACCGGCCGCAGGATGGTATCAACATATTGTTGAGCTGTTGATGTACGGAGGATGACTAAAGATGACCTGCTTGTCATAAAAAATAGTGCCCCACACCATCACAGCTGATTGGGACTGCTGGCTCCGTCCTCTCTAGACTCGAGCATGATGGTTATCTGCTTCAAGAGTGAAGCGGGATTCATCGCTGAACACTATCGATGTCAGTCTGATGGCAGCCATGATGCTCGGTTGCGACACCACTCCAGAAGACTCTGCCAATGTTGTGGGGTCAAAGGCAAACGTCTTAAAGGTCCCTGTGAGTGTAACCCTGCCTCAGACAACCGCTGTGAGATGGTGGACGGTACCACAAGAGGTATAGACGTGGCTGTAGTGCGTTGAATAGTTGGCAATGATACCGTTGGGGGTGGTTCAAACAATCATCCTACCTTGCCTCGCATTTGTGATCCTTGGCCTTCATTTTCATCGGAAATTTCCTTGTAGCAACCATTGCTGCCAGCATCTTTGCACAGCAGTGTCTGTACACTGCAGGTGGCAGGCTATTGCTCGGTATGATCACCCAGCTTCACACAACCCTACAATGCGACCACGTTCGAAGTTGTTTATTTGTCTGTAAGGTCTTCGATATCATCGTAATGACATCTTTAGTTGCTTTTTTTACGGAATAACAATGGCAGAGGGGGGGAAGAAAAAAATCAACGAAAAAGATAAATTTTCCGCCTCTGTTACTGGTTTTGTACTTTGCGAATTGCAAACTAGAAATGAGCACTATGATCGCAATTCCTGTTTATTTGCCTTGAAACTTTGATCATTAGCATGCTCAATCAAGATGTTTTTGTAGACTAAATTTTGTCACAATCGCAAAAGTCCATGTTTGTGCTTCGATTTTTCTTGCTAAAATAGTGTAATTATGTAGAAATTTCAAGTAATGTAAGCTCTGCTCTTTAATTTGAGGACATTAGGGTATTATTTTTCTTTTAAGTATTGGAAATAATTTTTAATAACATTTTTCATTGTTATAAAGTGCATTAAAATATGCATAAATTGATC